ACGATATATTTTCATTTTTTTTTTTTTTTTTTTTACAACACAGGGGGCAAACGAGCATGCGGCTCACCTGATGGTAAGTGACTACCGCCGCCCATGATCACCCACAACACCAACTATTTCATGTATAGTTCTAGAAATAATGTATATGGTAAAACAACGTTTACCGAGTCAGCTAGTTTATTTATATAAATAATAATTGGAATAAAGGTAGGAAGATAATGATGATGTATTATGCTTAGATTATATTGATAAAGTGTTTCCATACAAATGTTTCGAGAAGAGCGAGTAAATTTTTTCATACAATTTTTCGTGATATAAAGTTATGAGTGTTTCCTTTATAACTTTTGTATTTATTTTGTTTTATATTTTTTGCATCTTTTTAATGCGTAAAAAACTCATTTTATTTATTAAATAATTAAATATAGATACGTCAAGATACATTATGTGTGTAAGTATATAGAACACTGATAAAAAAACGATCCATCTAATTTGACAATTAGCTAACGAAAAACTTGCCGTTTTTGAGGCTCGTTGCTCTTCCATCTATATAATCTATAAGCTATCCGCGTTTAATATTTATTTTGATATTCTTTTATTATTCTTATATCTTTGTTTGTTACTTTACAATTTCTTTAGTTGTAAACCGATTTGGAAAATTCATTTTTTATCTTAAAAGATATATTTTTCAAGATTAGGTTTAAGACATTTTTTTCAAAATCGATCCAGTAGTTTAGTTTTAAATCAAAATATTGTGCCACGATTGAAGTCGTTCTTATTCTTGGAACACAAATTATAGTACATTACTGCATCGGCCAGTAACTGAGGCATTGATGGACGAACGTGCAAATGTGGGCCGAGGCGAAGCCGAGGCACACATACGTGAGTCTACAATGCCTAGTTGTGGTCAAGGCTTGTATAGTACTTTTCTCAAACAATGCGCGGAAATCAAAAACACAATTTTACTTTTTAAGTTTTTAAGTTATTTGCAATCCGGTTCGAAATTTAAATAAAACCTTTTATTAGTTACCTCCTTGGTAGCCATGTTTCGAAGTAAAAAGTCATTCCATTTTTAAATTACAGGACAGATTTGAGTTTACATAGTAATTTATTTGTCGCAAAACACGACGGATATGGATTTACATACAACTTTTGCCGGCCGCTGCCCGCATGTATCTGGCCAGTACGGCAATTTTCATTTATCTCGAAGAAGATTGCCAAAATAACGCTCACACTTCCAAGCGTGTTTGAAAAAAAAAAATCATATAAGTAACAGCAATGGACCTTCGGGGAAAGTTGTTTAGTTTTATTTCATAGCTTTACCCTTGTTGTATTCCATTTCCGTTTACAGTTATGCAGCTACCAATTAATTTACCGTTGGCACGATAAATGTACTCGTACTTACGAGTACCTTATAGACAAGGGAACACTCTATTATTTTGCAATTAATAACGTTAATGTTGGAATAACATGCGAATATTATTCAATTACGTTATTCCAGAGTGTTCCCATTAATTGTATGTTTATAGTAGAACATTCATTTTATTTTAAATACACTATGGGGACTTAACGCAATGGAAACGTTACCATCAATCCACGTCGAAACGTCGGCAATAAAGAAGCATAAGGTAATATTTACCTGATTAAAATATGTGTTAACAACGCGAAAGTTTAAAATTAGCATCCATTTTGTATAAGAGTCGTCTATTGCGCTCGTGTTTTTTGACTATTTATTTAACAGTATTTACAACCAAGTTTTGCTTTTTATTTTTTTTTATACAACTTAGAATGACAAACAAGCTGACGGCTCACCTGATGGAAAGTGGCAACCGTGGTAAATGTAACAATTTTTTTTATCTGTCAGTTTTAAAAAAATTAGGAATGTTCAATGTTTCTGACTTATTATTTAAAAATAACGCCTTAACAGCTTAACCATCTAATATGAAATTTGGTATATACGTACTATAAATGTAATAAGGAGTAAGAATATATATTTATATTATTACATGCATCACATCTCCATATTTAGAATTAACAGAATTTTTCATCGTGTCTCCGACCGAATTGTTTATAATTACTCCTCTCCATCCAAAGGTTGGCTGGAAAAGATCGCTTTTAGCGATAAGGTCGCCCATTGTTTTCTCATTGTGATTATTTCTTGTAATTGTTTATATTTATAATAAGTTTACTATTGTAATCTTTTGGAGGAAACATTAAAGAATATCTATCTATCTATTTATAAGGAACGAAGAGGGATATAGGCTACTTTCCATCCCGGTTAGTAAACATATCTCGATTACGCGAATGAAGTCGTGGGTAAAAACTAGTACAGTCATAAATTTCACGATGATGAATTCAGCCTTGAAAGCGCCGAGATGTAACTCACCAGAGTGAGACTTTGTACAAAAGTCGATTGCTTGGGTACCTCTGTCCCATTCGTGTTTTAACCATGAAGCAGTTGTGTTTGCATGGCTGTGTTTAGGTTTAAAGGGTGGGATATGGCGTAAATTTACTTGGTATAGAGGAATAACACCTGAGTCCTCAGGAGTGGCAACGCATGGAGGTTATCATGGGCGAAATAGTATACTCTGTTATGTCCGTGGTACTGCTCATGTCTATAGGCGACGGTTACCACTTTCCACCAGGTGGGCCGTCAGCTTGTTTGCCATTCCAAGTTGTATAAAAAAAAAAACACTTTCACGTTTATAATAGTAAATATACTTTATAAACTTGAAATTACGGGCCATCAAGTTACTGCACATCAAATTGACTAAAGGCTTTCAACTTTGTTAGGTATTGATGTTTGTAGAACAAACTTCTGGAAGTCCGAATAAGTAGGATTAACTGGTGGCTTATGGAGCGAATAGCGGAAGTAATCTATGGGAAATCGATCAGCTGAGCGCTATAGTACTTTTTAGTCAATCATCATATTTGTTTGTTGGTACATCAGCAGTGTTACATATAGTTTGTTAAAATACGACACTTAATATAGATATGGTAATATATGCACATTAGCAAGAGATGTACACATCATTGGCTGTATAATAATCATGTTATAAAATATGAAATGACTTAAATTATTTGTGCTAATTACAAGAATATCACTGCAAGGAATATATATGTACTCGTATATGATATCATATATCATATCAGCTGTTAACGGTATTGGGGTTTTTTTTTGATGGGTGAAAATGGTATGGTAACCCCGCCTGCGCTAACGGGATGCGCTGGCGGAGCACCAGTGAAGGGTGATAGATGAGAATGAAAACAGGCCAGTTAGCCCATCATGATGAATTCAACAGGAATTAACCATGATAGTTTCCAGGAAAGGATGATGGATTCACGTATGTGTGCCTCGGCTGCGCCTCGGCCCACATTTGTACGTTCGCCCATCAATGCCTCAGTTGCTAACTGCTGCAGGAATGTACTAATATATTAGGTTCATCTGGACATTATAAAATAATATTCAATACTTTTACCATATTTGTTATTAGACCAGTATTTTTTTTTTATACCAATGAGGTGATCAACAAGCATATAGCCCAGCTGATGATAAGCGGTTACGGTAGGCACAATACAAGGGGTATTACGCGTCCGTTGCTGACCCTGAAGAAACCTCTATACCCCCCTTTTGAATAACCTCACCTGTAGTCTCTTGACAAACATATATATATGTTGCAACTAAAATATATAGATACAGCAATATTATAGTGTAATATATAAATAACCCACCCCTACTGCCTACCCTAATTGGAGATAGGCGTAATAGATATATATATGTATGTAGTAAGGACGTGTCTCCTTGCAAAAAACATATAATAAAAAATATATGTATGAAAAAATGGAATGAAATAATTTATAACTGAACACAACTTTGCGAAAAATAACCATCTAGTTATCTAGTTTGTAGTTGCAGTTTCGAACAGTTAGTTTAAAACTATGTTCCAGTTTCAAATGGTTAGTTTAAAACTGTAACTAGGTAGTTGGGATTTTGCAATCTGTATAACCAAAAAAGTAATCGATAAGTCAACGCACTGTTGAAAGTGAGGGAGACATTGTACAAAAGTGGTTTGCTTGGGTACCTTTGTCCCATTCGTGTTTCTACTGTGAAGCAGTTGTGTTTGCCTGGCTGTGTTTCGGTTTGAAGGGTGGGATATAGCAGTGAATTTACAGGGTACAGAGGAATAACGCCTGAGTCCTCAGGAGTGGCAACGCATGGGGGTTATCATGGGAGAAACAGTATACTCTGTTATGTCCATGGTAGTGCTCATGTTCATAAGCGACGGTTACATGGGAGGCCTATGGTCAGCAGTGGAAAGTTAAAGGCTGATATGATGATGATGATGATGAAATTGCTTATTTATTAAATCGGAAAACTCAGTGTTTAGTACAAGTTTAATTAGTCTGTGGTTATGTCTATTGACATTGTAAAACCTAGTTAGTACTAACAACTTTGTGGACAGATTACACGATTAAAACTTAACCGGAACATGTTTAACGGAAAACTTGATAAACCCAACGAAATGTTTCCTTGTAAGTGTTTATCGAAGATAATTAGTGTTTTATCCGACTGTTGCAAAAGGAGGGTGTGTTTTTCAGATGTATAATAACACCAGATGTGATATTGGTTTGATAAATTTGAATAAATACGATGTAGGGAGATTTATTTTCATTGCGTGATTGCTATAGGATGCATGATAATCATCATCATCATCAGCTGTTAACTGTCTACTGCTGAACATAGGCTTCACCATAACGGGAGTTTTGCCAGTGGTTGCCACGTTTGGCAAGCCAGTTGACAACCGCAGTTATGCTTTGGTGATGTTTTAAAAGGGACGCTGCTGCCCATCCTTTGACAATTAAGTTCCCTTAGTCACCTCTTACAACATCCATGGGAAATGAAGCAGTGGTCCATTCTATGCCGGGACCACACGGCTACACATCTAAAAACACATGAGTAAAATTACAAATATTATTTAAAATAACTTTTATTGTTTTACTGCTTCTAGTTCTATTTTACAACATAGTCTCTTATCGTTATTACATTACAGTTAAATATTTACAGTTAAATTGTAACCAGTATCAACTAAACTTATCTATTACTGTAATAGAAAATTTTCCAGTTATTATTCTATTTATTTACATTATGATAATTGAATCTCTTGTAATATTACAATTTTATTATATAGTAAAACATTGTCCATTTTGTTATTTTATTTGCTTAGATAATGGTTACTTTTTAAACAGAAAATAAAGTATCTCTCCATTTAAATATAAAACAGCGGGAGACAATTTATAGAAGAATTTATTATAAATTCGCCTGTTATAGAGCATTGCAATGAAACCTATTTATTAGTTTTTTTTTTCAATTTTTTTTTTAAAGTAACACAGACTACTCAATTTCTTCTTGTCAGATTAATAGTAATTGCGCGCCAAAATTAATTTTCCATGTACTTATAGAAATAAACACGTTTTTGTTCGATTTTTAAAAGTAGGTGTGTACTTACTATTGAAAAAAATTGAAGTTGAGTTTACATATATTGTAAAAAATTTGTCGGAAGTTTCAATGTAGATATTTTTTTTCATAAAATAATATCAAATTATTTAATATGGAGTAATGTAGACTGTAATAATATCTATTTTCTTGCCTAATAAATCAATGTTATAATAAAATTATATCTTCATCAAAAAAGTAATCGCTACCTTATTTAAGAGGTAATACTGTCTTTAGAATAACGATACTGAAAATGAATCTATGCAATTATCTAGTATCCACAAAATAAAATAAATGTTATTCACAGTGATATATAACTATTTATAATATGATTATGTTTAAAATATCGATATTTATAAGTATCAAAAAAGATTTATTTACTTTATATTTTAAAATTTTTAAATTTAATGAACGAGTTGCATAAATTTTATACAATAAATTTTTTAATTGAAGTAATGCAGGCTTGACCATTCGAAACTTGTTATTTTTTAATTTTTGTAAAAGGAACTTAACCTATACAGCCCAGTTTTATTTGATTAGTGATAATTGCACACCAAAGTTAGATGCAACCAAATAAATTTCGTTTATGTATATATGTAGGTACCTGTACCAAACCTACATTTTACTACGTTAACTGTCCACTGTTAAACTTTCCTATAAGGAGAATTTTGTCAGTAGCCATGCTTACTAGGCGGATTGGCAACCGCAGTCAGGACTTTGGTGATGTTCTAAGAAAAACGCTGCTGCCCATCCTTGGGCCATAAGTATCCTTAATAGCCTCCTACGACATCCATGGGAAAGGAATGGGCCCATTCTATGCCAGGACCCACACGACGAAATTCCGATAGTGTATTTAAAATATGGAACCTTTGCTAAGTTCTTTTTTGTGTGCATAAAAAAACATCTTTATACAATAACTTTTTAATTACTTCATTGTATTACAGAGATTGTTGTTTTCCCTCACTGTAGAGAGTTTCCGTTCTAAGAGCGTTATCACAAGACTGGAACTTTCTCAATTTAAATGTGCAATTTCTTGAGTGAAGCGGAACAAATAAAATGAAAGTTCCGAGAACTGGGCACCCAGTTTGATTGAGATGAACTGTTTTATGCATTACGACAATGCTCTGTCGGTGTTTTACAATGCAATGTTTGCAGTAAATAATAATATTATAATGAGATACCGAAGGATATTTTGGATCTGCCTTCTAATAAGTTTAAAACTGTTATTAAAAAACACTTATTGAACAAAGCCCATTACACACTAGACGATTACTTGAATGACAAATCTGCATGGTGTTAGTCGATCATGCATGGGCTTTTAACGACCATGTAATTTTGGACTTAGTACATTTAAATAAATACACATAATATTAACAGAGATTTAAAAGAGTAACCGGTGAGTTTCTTGCGGGCTCTTCTCAATAGATAACAACGTTCAAAACCCTGCAGTAGATTAAAAAAAAATGACGATTTAAAAGTGATTGTAAACAATTCTATTTGAATAAAATGTTACTATAATTGTCACATATTTTTCACCACATCTGCCCTTCATACGCTTTCTGTTTTCACCCAATAGTTAGCTGGTAGAGAATGCCATATGGCATTAAGCTCGCCACTTGTACAAAATTTTATTGTGCAATAAAGAATAAATAATAATAGAAAAGATGATTTAAATTTGAATGTTAATTTGAAAGTATTTTGTTTTTTATATGGTGGAGACAAAGTTTTTATGCTAAAAGTTTTATCAGTACACATTATAATTTAATATCGGTTATTATAACTATCGGTTTAACTTACGTGTAATTTAATCGAAAATGGTCGATTAGTTTCGGGATCATTCAGGACCCTTAGTTTTGAGCGGTTGTGACGCTCTATATTGAGCTTTCTATGTCAGCATTAATAACATGAATAAAAACATAAGGAAATCACAAAGTAAACAATTTGCATTCTAAATTGAAAATGAAAAACGATTACCTTAAAAGACTCGCTCCCGTAAAGCTTGCCTCCTGCTGTTTTGATTCGTAAATACTCGATCATATTTGTTTCAGTCTAGAGATCACTACAATCGCCTTAATCTAGAAAATTCCTACGTTTATTTGAAACTAGCTTTTAACCATGACTTCGTCCGCGAGATATGTTTACAGATTGGGATGAAAAATAGCCTACAGCCTTCTGTAACTCATATACCCATTAAGGAATTATAAGGTAATAAACAAATTCACTTTCACATTTATAATATTAGTAAGTATTATTGCAGTGCAAATTTATTTTTATCGTAGCAAGTGGTCATACTTATTGTAACAGTAAACAAACCTATAAAATCAACAATATCTCGTTACACTCAGAAGAAAACAATTCAATTCGGAACGTTACTTAAACTCAGTTGAATGTAGACAATACTCGTAAAGCAAATATTCGAATGAAATGTACTTTTTATTACCAAAGTTTGCACTATTTGTTATTTATTTAAAGTTTTATATTTACCTTATGAACAAACAATATACATGTTGCACTTTACAAAAGTAGTTATGTACGCTGAAAATAGTAGTGAGTACAGTTATATTAGCCATGCTACACGTCCGCCCTTCTCTCGTTCCACTGTGATGTCGGGTGGCGATACGTTGTCGGGAGGAGCGGCGCAGGTAGCGACCGCGGGCGCTTCACTCACTCGTCGTCGTGTGAGCGTCCGCACGGGTTCGCGTCATGCGCCGCAGTCTATCCGAGCGCATATCGCGGCGCTGAGGAGTGTAGCTGCGGCCAGAGCGATTTGTACACACGCGATCACTATTAAATCTCGAGATGAGGGCGCTGAGTCTTCTTCGTCCGGTCCATCCCTAAAAGTAAATAGATTGCTTTAATTTTGATAATGTAGACTTAAAAAAAAAAACATATTACAGATACAAAAAATCTAATCTAAAACAGCAGTAGGTATAGGATGCAATATTTAGTTGAGAATGAAATTTAGTAGTGGAAACACTATTATTTATATAAGATTACTATATTATATATAAGAAAGTTTATAAAGATATTCGGATTTTTGTTAATAATGCTTAAATGGCTGTAAATATTTGAATAATGGTATACGGTCAGATTATATCCTAACTTAATATACGAAATTTATTTCATATACTGATTCAGAAATCAGAAGAAAAGCCGTCAGAAACAGTTATTGTAATAATAAATGAAAGTCCGAATTTGTTATAGATATTTGATGATAAAAGTTTAAATAATTATTTATTCTATCAGTTGTGTAATCAACTTCGAGTTATATAAAGATAATTACGATTATATAATGAACAATACCCATGAACAAGTCCAGAAGGATCCAGTATAGTTCTACAGCACTGAACGACCAATGCGAACTGCAAGCAAGCCGCGGCGGCCCACAAAACGCTCGCCGCGCCCGCTCCCGCTCCCGCGGGGTTCGACACAGCGCTCCAACCCCGCGATGTATGGATTGATACCGCTGTATGCGAAATAATAAAGTTATGGCCATACTTTAGTCGTTGCACGCGTCGATTACGTATTCCTTTTTATAGCACGTGCTCTTTAGAACAGCATTACGTGGATTTTTCTTTTATAGTCGCCGTGGGGGTCATATCAATAAAACATGACATTCAGCGGTAAAGCGTATAACGCCGAGTGTTATGTGCTTTCAGTGACTTTGACATCTAGGGAGGGCTCTTGGAAATGTTTTCTGATGTGTTTCAAGGAAAACTCACTGTTTGATATCTTCATAAATAGACATAGAGCCTTCAACTTGTACAAAATAGTAATATGCTTAGATACAAACATTAATTTGGTCTGTCATAAATCACGTGAAATCGAACTACGAGATGAATGTAAACTGAGTTAAAATTTAGTATAAAATCGAACAGCAGTATTCGAGATTCTACTATGCAAACTCGACAGAAATATTTTATCTCAACATTGAGAATCTGCAACCTAATCATGTTTACTAGGATACTGGGTATACGTAAAGTTGTCTACAGAGGTTTGTCTGGGATAGATTTGCTTGCAAGCTGTGTTTCTATTAGACAGAAAATAGCAGTGAATTAACTGGATAGTGGTCGTGACCGGTATCTAATTACAAATCTATATATATATATATATATATATATATATTCTTTATTGCAGGGTGGGCTTATCTCTAAAAGAGATTTCTTCCAGCCAACCCAGTGCAGTTAGAGAGAAAATAATCAATTATATAGTATTTTATAATATTTATTTTCAGGTAAAAAAATATTACAAATCGCTTTATAAATGACAGTGTAATGAGGTAAAAAAAACATACAAGCGAACTGGGAACTTTGTTCTATTTTTAAATAAGTTGAAAACGACAGGAATAGTAACATGTGTATCGCTTAGTATACTAATTTAATGTTATGTGTATGAAATGTATATGTACATATATAGGATAAATTAAGTGTGTAAAGATGTGTTGTGATGGTCCCCCCCTTTTGCACCCCTTATAATAATAACCCTCTAAACTAACCTACACATGGAAAACCTACAAAGCCTAAGAAAAGCCTACGAAGGCTTAACCTAATGAAATCTATGAAAATCTAATGAAAACTTACCCTAAAGAATGGCCTAACACCCTCAATATAACCCCATACCTATATTGCCTTATACACCCCAAACACCCTATGAATCATATAAACCCTTACAATAAACACTTAATATTGAACAGATCTTATAGTAGAACACAAATCATCTCGCCAAATAAATAAATGTGTGATCGTCTAGTAATGTAGGACCCGTTGTGTGTGTAATAACCAAAAGGTTCTTTAATTGGTATATGATAGGAGTTAAATAATGAAGATGATTGATAAATCTTTAAGGATTAAGAATAATTAATGAATTATACTCATAATTCATGTAACTAGGAAGTTATGTTAATTTAATAGTAAATTACAGAATAACTGTAATAATAAAAAAAAATGGGGGAGCGGTCGGGCCCCTCACACGCCCGGACCAGTGGAAGACTTTCCAACTATCTATAACTCTTCCTCCTAAAAGGTAGGGAAGGGTATTTATTAATGCACTCTGATGGTAATAAGGGAATGAGTATTCTCAGTTCCAAACCAAACATAAGTACATTTACTTCAACATTACAGTGGCTCCACCAGCCCCACGATGCTTCCAGTATAAATTAGTGTTTGCCAGAGGCAAACGGATCGGAACTGAAATCCCAGGATCACTCCGACACGAGAGCTTACTCATGGGTGATGACCCTTTCAGTTCTATATGGCGACATAGAGATCACCCACTAACAGTACGAAACTGTTTCCCAGCGTCACCCTGTTACGAGCTTACTCAATGGGGGTTTCCCTTCGGCTCCACAAGAGATCAGACCAAGAAGCGAGATCACCCAGACACCAGAACTTACTTTGTTGGGACATAACCCTTCGGCCCTATAATGTGACATTAGAGATCACCTGTGAAGACAGTCCGATAGAGATGAAGATTTGTGTGATAGGGGATACCTTCCACACCCTGGAATTGGCCAAGCCATATAATGTTGATAATTGCTATATCATAACATAGCATTGTCAATTTAATATTATTTACTTAATACCAAGAATACTCAAGGTTCAAGTTAAATCTGTTGATTAGGCCGGAGCCTAAGAATGAGTAGTCCAACCCATAGGTCGAGAGCTACTAAAAGTAATGAGTGCTATTGAATGAACTATAAGTCCAGTCAATTATATATAATATTATTGTTGATTAACCACATTGTGAATTAACCAATTATTTATTCAGAGAGATATATCTAAAGGAACTATAAGTCCTTTAAAAGACACTGATTAATCACAAGTTAACAACGTCTCGTGAAATAACCAGTTGGGTTTTCTATAAGTTTGAGGACACTAAGTCCAACAAGCTATTATTGTGTTGAGAGTAACAGAGATCTTTTGTAATATTTGTAGAGGTTTGATTAATCACATTGTGAAATAATCAGATTAAATAATTATGTAGCTTTATAGAAAGGACTATAAGTCCTAATTGGTTGTTGTCATAAGTACTGATAAATTACACATAAAGTGCCAGGTCAATTATTATATATAGGTATATAGGAAGGGCAATAAGTCCTATTTGTGTATGTTGTAGTAGTAGAGGCAATATATTGTATAATTATAATGTAAAAGACATAGATTAAATATATATTTGTATAGAAAGGACAGTAAGTCCCATACAATTATTGTAGCCGTACTATAGTTATACTATATCTACTTCCTTTTAGTGTCTTAGTAAACCTATTTACTAATAGGATTTCTCAGATAAACAAGTGTTTTAGTGTTTAAATCATCATGATTAAATCCCTAAGAAATTAGGTCTTTAAATAATTATCATATCATTTAAGTGAAATTTCTCATATAAATAATCCCAATATTTCCCCTACAGTTATTATAAAATAACAGAAAATTATATAAATTTTCTATAGACTTAGATATAGAATCATAACGTGTATAATCTCCTTTTGTTTGACATCTGTCACATTAATGACGTATTGAATGACGTATTGATGTATTGAATTGAATTTTGATTATCTATCACAACTGTCAACGTAACAAATACTAGCAAGTTTGTTTATTTGTATTTGTTTAATATAATTAAATATAAAATCATCATATATCAACCGTAATATACAACTAAATTATCAGTGACATAAATAATCATGGTTTACACCAGAAATAATTAATAGTATCCAGTAATGCTGCAGTTTTATATTCATATCAGTAGCCAAGCTTACTTTCAAATTCAAGAATGAACAGAAGATTAGAAGTTTAACATTCTTATTGCAATTGTACTTGCAATAATATATACATACAGTACTAATAATCAAGAACATTCCTCAAATACATGTGTGGTGAAGATTTCCCAATATGCTATCTATTTGATTCCTAACCTCTAATGTAAATTTATTAAAGAAGTGAATAATCAGTGTTAGTGTTTACTTTATTAATATTTAAAGTAATTGTCCTAACTTGATATTAATAAGATAATATCTCCTTGGATACAGTCCGACATAAACATATAACTCAATAATTAAATTTATAAATATTCAAAACATGTATATTAAATATAAATCCAGTAAATATTCACTAATATTAACCCTGTCTGAACTTGTCTAGTCAATATAACATGAACAAACAACACACATACAAACCTTATCGCCAGGACAACTTCCTTTCTAAATATGAGTAAAATACATAGCTTCACAAGTGTCATACAGTACCAATTTTATACTGAACCTCATGCCTAGTTAAGAGTAACTATAGTCAGAGAATCTTTTAGTACTTTTATTACCATTAGGAAATAAATCCACACCTATAATATCAGCATAATTAAATATTATTAGTAATCAGTAATACACACAGAATTGTTATTATCAGCTTGCTTACTACAACAAAATCAATATTAAAGTTTATAATAAATCAAGACAAAATATCTATTTAAACAATACAGGCTTGTTTACCATAAACACCCCACAGTCACATGAATTTATCTAGTAACACAATTAATAATGTATTAAAAGTATTACATTCACATAATATCACTTGCAACAGTTAAGCTGTCTCTTTGTACATCTGGTGTAAAACAAATCCCCACATGTAGTCATGGATAATCAAATATAGACTAAGAATCATTAATCTGGTCGACCGAGTAATGGTATAAAAACACTTCACCATGAAGCGTTAAGTATGAACAGATATTCCAAACCAACACTGTAATAGTGTAATAAATACAAATATTTCATCATCATCATCGTCTCAACCATCACCAACCCACGACTGAACACAGGCAATTTCCACTGACTGACACAAGGAACGGCCCCACAATACACATACAACAGTCACTCCAAACAATGGAGGTAGCCCACACCGCACTTGCATTTACAGGGTCGCCACTCAATAACCCTCTCTCTCTCATCAATAGCTGTTTCCCCAGCAATGAGACCAGACCATAGTCACTTTAGTCCATTATCCTCAATAAATAAATACTTTATAATAACTAGATATGAAACTAGTTAGTATTGTAATAGTTCAATAGTTGATTCAATAAGTATTTTCCAAAACTGGACAATTAGAACATTGAATCAAATTGATAGAGTTCTATCAAACGACCATATAATTGGATTTTGTATATGAGTAAAATAACGTAAGTACGTAAATTATATTGATGTAAACTTTGTTCAAATGTGATTGCATTTAACGATATACGCATTACCTAAAGGTATATGGACTCGACTAAATACGTATTTTAATAGTTGTTGGGAAAAATATTAAGTATAGACTTTGCCTGTGATCACAGTCAAAAATCTAACTACGTAGTAATAAATGGAACAAGCTCACCGGATTCTCCAGTCTTCTATTGATTAATTTCACACACTTAATCGATAGTGATACACTAAGATCTCAAACCCCTTCATCGATCCAGTCCCTCCTAGATCTATATCCC